GGAAATACTACTCTGATGGTATTGCGTCAGTGGAGCTAGGCACAGAAGAGGAGGGCCAGTTAGAAAGCCGTTGTAAACAATAAATAGTGAAGATTTCACTTGTGACGGCAAATGGGAAGAAATGGACGTACATACATAAAATTCTGGAATTAGATTCACCAAGACTTAACCAAGTTCATTGTGGCCAAGTGGCTTATAGGGAGCAAGTCATAATAAGAGACAGAAGAAATCGGATGTGACATGGAGGTTTACCTGATTTATTAAGTCAAGTTTTATAATTAACCAGATCTTTTCAACGACATATCAAGGCAGTTCACAGGTAGTTGAAAAAACTAGCACAGGTTTTTGCTACTCAGGTGGCATAGCGAGTAAGGAGAAAAGTGACACCTAGTGGTGAAATCCAGCGATCCTTTAAGCATCCTTTGACTTACGTGTGCTGTATGGAATCTTAGCTAGCGCCTTATTGCTTGATTCAGTTTAGAAAATGGTTAGTCTAGGATTACACTTGAATAAATTAACCTTTCTGGAACCCAAGCAATAGTTGGTGACGTAATTTTAAAAACCTGAGTTGAAAAATGATCAGAGTACGCAGATCAAAAGGACTCAGTAATTTCCAAGCAAGGTTAATGAGGAAAGATCACTATAAAAACTGCAGCATTTGTGATTTACAGAGATAATGAAACTACTCTGTTAGCATCCTTGCATGCGGTGGAAAAAAAGTTTACTTATAAAGAAATAAAAATCAGATCGGCTTTAAACTTTATTCTAAGTTTAAGTGCTAGATACAGTAGAGCAATATCAAGACTATTGAGCAAAGCAAAAGTTAAGAACTTTGTACCTAGCCAGGTTTTATACAAGATATAGAAGCTCAGACTTGGAAAGGTTCAGTAAATACATCACCCAATGCTCTTAAAATGGTTCCAGCCACTGAAAGATTGGTGGTGAATATCGAAATAAGTCAAATGAAGTTATATCTGAAAAATTGTTTTACTTCATAAAACAAAATGCATACAACAAAATAATTTTTGAGAATAAATGTAAAATTTGCATCTATAAGCCCAAATTACATCAGTCTGACGCTCTCAATCAGAGCCTTGGGTGTAGAAGATGGATCCAGGGCTGATGCTGGCCTTCTTCAAAGCAGATATGGAAATTCCTCGCTAAAAGATCGTGTTTCTCTGAACAGGTTGAAATTCTTACTTTGTTCCTCGCACTGCTCGAGGGTCTACTTTTCAGATTTAAGCCTCCTTTTTTCTATACCTTCCTTTTTCCCTCAATTCCCTCTCCCACCTCAACAAACCAGTCTCCTCCCCCGGGCAGTCCTTTGCGGTCTCTTGGCCTGCTGTTCTGCTTCCCTCTCTTACCCGGCACTTCTTGGGTCTTGTAAATTGGGAGGCTGGAGGTTCAGGATTCTGCTGTCTGCATACAGAGAGGAAGAGGCGATCCCCCAGGACTTTAAGGCAGGATTAGTTACTGTCATACCACTTGACAGGTGTGTATTTATAAAAATTTAATGTAATAAAGGTGACTTCATATCAGTGGGGGAAGTTATGATGGTTCCATAAATAGCGCTGGCAGGTGCATTCCTATATCACAATTCGTCAGGCTGTACACGTTAAGTATGTGTGTGCACTTTATTGTCTGGCAGTTATCGCTCAGTAAAACTATTAAAATAGTGCTGAAATTATTAGAAGAAAAATACCTTCTTTGTACCAAAATAGATTTCAGAAAATAATTAAATGTAATAAATGATACTATAGTGCAATTGCAAGAAATTGCAAAAAAAAAAAATCTTTTGAAATGATTTTGCTGTGGAGAAGAACTTCCTAACCATGGAACCAAAGAGGAGAATGACAAAAAAGACTGCTGGCTTTTTATACATATCCATACACATGTGTGTGTCATCATACATAAATGGGATCAGTCCCTTCTCCCTCAGCCTTCCCCCACGTCAGCAGCCCAGTCCCCTTTTGTGCCCCACCAGGTAAGCTATGTCAAAAATCGTACAGGTGTTCTTCCAAAATATATATATATATATTTCTAAAACCATATATATCCCTACACACATAGATAAACTTAGGAGATTTTTTTGGTCATTGTTTTACATAAAATAGAATTCTGTTAGTCTTTGTTGTTGTTGTTTTTCGAGGAAGATTAGCCCTGAGCTTACATCTGCTGCCAATGCTCCTCTTTTTTGCTGAGGAAGATTGGCCCTGAGCTAACATCCATTCCCATCTTCCTCTACTTTATATGTGGGACACCTACCACAGCATGGCTTGATGAGCGGTGTGTAGGTCCACACCTGGGATCTGAACTGGCGAACCCCCGGCCACCAAACTCAACCACTATACTGCTGGGCCAGCCCCATTTCTATTAGTCTTTTTTTTGCATCTTGCTTTTCCACTGTGCTTAATCCCCTGTGCTTTAGGAAGATCTCTCTGTGTCACCTGGCATGGCTCTAATTCCTTCATTTTAATGGTAAGGTAATAGATTGTTTCACAATTTATTCAGCCTTTTCAAATTAATGGACATTCACTTTATTTTCCGTTCTTGATCACTACAAATTATGTTGCTGTTACCTTCCTGTACCTATTCAATAGGAATTGGTCCTTTTGCTTCTATATACAAATGCTCAAGAGTAAAATTGTTTCTCCTCAAAGGGTTTTAGGTATTTCTGTTTGTAGTAAATGCTGTTACACTGCTTTCCAAAAAGACTGTATCCTTCGCAGTTCTAGCAGCCACGGATCAGTGGCTCTTTCCCGACATTCCTGGCAGCAGTAGATATTATAGCTCATTTTACTTTCCACCATTTTACTTTTTTTTTTTTTTTTTACTTCCTGTGTGCTCAGGGTCTCAAAGTCAGCCAGAGATGAGTGGCTGGGCCCTTTCCTTTCCCAGCAGGTCCTCCCTGGGCATGCACGCAGCCTTGCACAGCTGTGCAGACTCTTAGATCCCAGGAGTATGTCTAGTTCTTCAGAATTTTCTTCTCATTCCTGCCCTGGCTCTTATCCGCCTCAGCTGAAACCACAGCCTTAGGCAGCTGCCTGGTGCCCGCAGATGGCTGCTGTTTTTGCGATGCCCTGGAGGGAGGGCCTTTTCCCTCCTGAGCTGGGGTCTCTCTCGGATGAAATGGCCACACCACCTTGGGAATAGAGTTTCCAGGGAGCTGCGAGTTGGGACAGACAGCTCTTTTGCTCTCGGGAAGCTGGTTTTAATGGAACTGCAAAAATACTCACTCCTTTCTGATGGCTAACATTATTGCCTTTTCGAGGCCACTGGCCACTAAGCTGGGAAGTGAGGGGGCCGGGAACAGCCCTCCATGGAAGCATCCCAGTCTACCATCTTACCGAGGTCTCGTCGTTTCTGTGGGGAGACTGTACGATCCGCTTGTTTTGTGGCTTCAGTTAATTTCCAGAGGTCTGGAGTGGTTAACTTGAGTTGCTTTACTAGTGTTTCAATTTTTGTGGGAGAGCGAGTTCACGGAGGTTCTCACTGTCATTCTGGAAGTCAGTCTCCTTCCCTCGTTTCTTAGCCATTCCAAGAAACGCTGTTGGAATTCTAACTATATTACATTTGTAAATTGATTTTGGAAGGATTGGCATTTTAGATTTTAAGCTTTTTTAACTGGAAACATGATTAAGACTCATAGACTTGATTATTTAAATGTATACATCTGTGCAGGTTTTAAAAATTTCTGAGTATTCAATCACAAATGACACTGGGGAAAATATTTGCAACATATAACGGACATAATATTAATGACCTCTGAATATTAAATTTACTTTTAAATATAAAGAAGATAACATACAAACATGGGTAAAGGACACAAGCTGTTTTTTAAAAGAAGAAATACAGATGACCCAAAAGCCTAAGAATGTTCAGAGTTATGGATTAAAACAGTACAAATTAAAATGAGATACCTTTTCCACTTATCAAATCAGAAAAAAAAATAGCATTGTTGGGGAAGAATGTAGCAAAATACTCTCCTACACTGTTGGTGGAAATACAAATTGGTGCGAGCTTTCTGAAATACAGTTCTACCCAGATATTCTTTTTCTAGAATTAATCCTAAGGAAAAATCATTAATTTATTCACTCATTAAATAGTTAGTGAGTGCCCACTCTGTGCCAAACAGTGTCTCCAGGAATACAGCAACAGAAAACACATACACACTTAAAAGCATTTGCTTTCATGGAATTTGCTTGCTTGTTGGTAAGGCAAACAAGAAACAAAATAAAATACAGGGTCCTAGAATGAGCGAGGTCCTGTGGGGGAGAAAGCTGGGAAAGAGGACGAGAAGGGCTGGGGCGTGCGTGTGGGTTTGCAGTCCCCAGGAACAGTACCATGTTGAGAATGACTGATCTCTAAGAAGTGGAAATGCATGTTTTATTTTCTTTATATTTTTCTGAGTTGTTTCTACAATGAACATGTAGAAATAGGTAACAAATCAAAAAACATTTTTTTTAAATAATCAAAATTCTTTGACAGTATGAGTTTCTGACACCTTTTGTAGAGGTTGGTTTATTTCAGCAGTCTTTTGGACGTTACAAGGGATGGGTTTTACTTTAGGGGAATAAATATAAATGGGTTTATTAGCATAGGGTTTAATTATGCAGCCTGTCACACTTGTGTGAAAATATGATTTAGGTTTATTTTTCTTGAATCAAGCTATTTTAAAACTTGAATTAATTTAGCTAATTGAACTTTTGTTTTGCTTACCTGCAGTTAAGAACATTGAGAAGACTATCAACTTCTTACTAGAATTTTATCACATACATGTTACTAAGTTATTGATTTTAGTTACCTTTTAGCATGGAATGTCAATTAACTTACTTGATTATTTTAAGTATCTTACTTTGTATTAAGTACTTCTTTCAGAATCACTTTAAAATGTTTCGTGGTGGATTTCATTATATTTCACTTTCATTTTATAAACTATCAATGTAAGAATTTAGATTAACTTAGAATTTTAGAATTTAATGCAGGAAAATATATTTTAGGAAAACAGTTAAAGGATGGGAAGAAGCCAGAACCGTGCAAACCTATCCTCAAGGTGGAATTCAAAACGACTAGATCTGGGTAAGATTTTAACTTCGTTGCCAATGTTGATTGTCTGTAATTACTCAAATAGCACTGAAGGCTGTGTGATCATTGCTTTGAAATCCCACGTTAGAATGGTGTAGCCCGGTCTGTAGTGCTCTCTTAATTTAACAAAATAACTAAAATTGGTAAATTTGGGGTGAAACATTTCTTTGTGTTCTGTCTTTAGTAGTTTTACAATATATCTTGGAAAGTTTGAGTTATTTTTTTGTCAAACTTCATATGTTCAGTTAGATTAGTCTTCAGTAACAATAGTGTTTATTCACTAGTGAAAACTGTGGAATAAGCAATGAAGAAAAAAGGCAAAATTTAACCTATTTATACTATATATGTTAATTATGAATGTTATGTATTCAGAAGTTAAATTTCATAAGCATGTTTGACAATTAGAAAAATAAATAGTTTAATATTAAAGGAAGTTTGTCAGTTGTGTTTGAAGACATTGATTGCCACTGTATGAATTAGGTATGAGAATTATATGGCTTTTACAATTTATATATTTTACACATATTTTTGTATGTACCAAATGTTATATTTAAAAATATAATAAATGAAAAAATTTTTAAATGTTTCTTTGAAAATTCCCCATCTCTTTAACCTCTGAAGGAGCCCTTTAATTTCTGTTGTAGTTCCCCGGGAAAAGCGTGTGGTTTTATTCACTATAGCGTTGTAAGAGAGTGAATTTATGTGGTATGTATAGTGCAGGCTTCTCAAATTGTGGTCCCTGGACCAGCAACATCCGCTGAGAACTTGTTAGAAATGCGAATTCTCAGACTCCGCCCCAGACATACTGAATCAGAAACTGTCTGTGGGTGGAGCCCAGTGTTGTAACTAGACCCACAGGAGATTCTGATGCACACTAAAGTTTAGAACGATTGGTGTATTTTTTTGTATACCAGTTTATAACCACTGGTTGTTATGGCTGGGGTACTTCCCTTTTTAATCTGTTCTCCCCATCTAATTCAACTCAGCCCTGTTCTCATTTGAGAAATGACAGTGGGCTGAAGAATCATAAGATGGCTGTTATTTTCCCTTATCCTCCTTAGGCTTCCTCTGGGATCCAGAAGATATACTGTGTTCAGACAGTAGGTTGAATGAACTCCAAGAGGAATAGCATCTGTTGAACTGACTGTGGCATCCCTCACTGTGTGTGTGACCTTTGGCACAGAGTTAGTGGACTTCTTTGTGCTTCAGCTTCCTCATTTATGACATAAATGTGACAGTAGGTCAAAGATGGTTGTGATGCGTTAAATGAGATAATCATGTATTCAAAACATTTCACAACACTGCCTAGTACATAATAAACTTTCTATAAATACTTGCCCCTATTTTTTGTTAGGAGAGCTCCTACCACCAATTGATTTTTATTTGCCATATTTGTCCTATGGCAAAGGAATGTAAATAGGAAAAGCATTGTAGCAAAAAAAAAAAAAAAAAAGGCAGGGAACCAGAAAGAAACCTGTGTTTGTAAAAAACTTCAAATGAATTGTTAAACGTTTAAATTATCAGTACTAATTGTCATCTGAATTCTGTATTCATTTTAACAAATCTCGTTTGGCAGCAAAGGCTCAGGGAGGATTTTTTTTTCTCTCTGTACTCTACCTGTTCCCTTTTTCACTCCTATATAATGGTCATATTTATGATTCCCGGTTCCTTCAGGATGGCAGCAATACTTTTCCTTTCATAAGATGAGAAGTGGAAAAAAAAAAAAAAAAAAGCCTGACTCTTTCATATGCATTTGTAGATACCATTAAAAAGATCAGTAGGCTCGCCCTCTCGTAACAGTCTTCTCCAGCTTCCCAATTTCTTTTTCTCTTGGGGTAGGACATTCAGGAAATTAAAGTTTTTCTTTTTTCTCACTCCTTGGCCTCTTTCCTTCACGTGGCCTCTCAGAATTCCAGTGTGTAGCCAACTCTGAGAACTGCTGCACCACCCTCCCATCTAGAGCCGGATCAGCCCCATCGTGTAGTAAGCTCGGCAGCTCTCACCCGTTCCTGTTCTTGGCAGTGTCTTGGGCAGGGCTTCTGCCAGTTCCCGGTGGCGAGTAACCAGATTTTGTTAGAAGAGCATCCTTTCCTCCTCGGGATCTTCTGCATTGTCTTCCCTTTACCTAGAAATCGTTCTAGGCAGGAGGATTCCCTCTCATCTCTCATAGCTCAGCGTGAACGTCACTCCTTTAGGATGTCTTGGCCATGTTGACTAGATTGGGTCCTCAAGTAATAAACTCTCAAAGCATGCTGTGTTTTTCCTTTCTAGAACTTAACACCTGTCATTAATAATGAAATTACTTGTTTAATGCATGCCTCCCCTGTTAAATATTCTAGCTCCATGAAACCACGGACCTCTCTGTCTCACTTCTAATTGTCCTAGCATAGTGCTGCTGAATGTAAGGACAAAGAAGAAAGGGTGGCGTATGGAAGAGCATAGCCACGAAGAGTTAGCTGTTATATGTTAATGATAAATGCGTAATTTAATTCTCAGGCAAAGGTAAACTGACAAAAAATGGGATCAAGGTGTTCTGTAACTTTTATTTTCTAAAAAAATAAAGCCTCTATTACACCAGGAGAGACCAGATTTTCCCTTACATAGAGAACAGTGACAGTATAATTAATATAGCGTTTTAATAGCACTTTTAGTAAACATGTGGAACTATTCTTTACATGGCCAGTTCTTAATAGAAAGTCAAAGTTAAATGCTAAGTCAATTCTGTCGAAGTTGTTTCTGTGAAAAACTGCTGTGACCTGGGTGTGAGGTCCTGCAGCGACTGGAACATGAGTAAAGTGATGAAGCGTGGACTCTGGAGCCAGTCCCCTGCGTCTGAATCCTGCCTCGGCTGCTCACTCGTGCGACCCTGGGCAGGTCAGCTAAGCTTTCCGTGCTTGTTTCTCCATCTGTAAGATGAGAATAATAATAGTATCCACCTCATAGAGTTATATAAAGATGAAACAAACATACATAAAGCACTGGGAACATGCTCTTTAAACCAGTTGTCTCACATATCACTTGTCTCAAAACAGCATTTGATAACCTCTGACAGACTTGTAAAGTGCCGTTATTCTGATTTCGCTTTTACAAAGCGATGTGCAAGTAGCAAGTGTGATCAGATTTCATAGTAACTAAAGAACCTCACTCATGTTCTTCTGCAGATTGAGAATCATTGGAAAATACTTTTTTTGGTTGTAACCATCAATTTTTAACTTATAGAGTAGAATAGGAATTGGAGCACACTGCACGTTTTAAGGCTAAGCATTGGTTCAGGAAACTTTTGTTCAATTGTGTGCGTTTACATATCTGTGTGCTGTATCATGAGGTGAAATGCACTTCTTACTATGAGTCATGCTCATAACATTTGAAAGCCTCTGATTTAGCGGAAATAGCTGAGGCTTTGCACTCTCAGACTTAGGTGCCAATCCCAGTTCTGCGACTTACTGGCTATGTTATCTTTGGCAAATTGCTTAGCCTCACTGAACCCGTCCCTACTTCAGTGAAACGGGGACAGTAATTCCCACTTCATGGAATTGTTGTGAAGACCTGAAAGAAATAATGCCATGTGTTTGCACGTGGGAGGTGTTTAATGAGTTCTAGTTCCTTTTCTCTTCTACACTTTTCATTTTATAGGAGGTTGTAGGCAGGGCCGAATTTTCAGCAGGATGCAGCTCTGGATGGGTTCAGGTTTTCCAAGAGGTGGTCAGCTGAACTCCGTAGAGTATTGCTCTGTGGAGCATTAGAAGTCAGTTTCTCTTAAGAAACACCACCATTCAAAGAATCACTGGATTTGGGGGAAGCCTTTCTGGTAGGGAACTAAAAGTGAGTATTACCAGAGTTAAATATGGCAGTTTAGTCACATTTGGAGAATCACATCTAAAGGTTAATTTATTCCCTTTCATCATAACATATGCTATGGCGAACCTTTGGTGTATAAGGCCAGAGAGTAAATATTTTAGGCTTTGCAAGCCTTACAGGTCTCTGCTGCAACTGCTCAGCTCTGCCGTTGTAACCCCAAAGCAGCCAGAGACAGTTCAGAAACGAATGCGTGCAGCTGTGTTCCGATAAAAGTTTATTTATGGACACTGAAATTTGAATTTCATATAATTTTCATGTGTCAGGAGATAGTCTTTTGTGTATTTTTTCCAGCTCTTTAAAAATGTAAACACCATTCTTGGTTTGCAGGCCATACAAGAATAAGCAGTGGGCTGTAGTTCGATGACACCTGCTGTGCACACATATCCACGCACGTGATGTATTTAAGTTTGTCTTTAATGAAAGATAAACTTGTTGGGCTTTTGTGCTTGCTTATTCCACCCCCCCCACCATGGTGCCAGAGTTTGTTTTCAAGTAGTTTAGTGAGTAAGATGATTTCTTAAATTTTATATGTGGACTGAAAGCTGTGGGTGGATTACCTATATAAGAATATGAAAAAACACAGACTACAATAAAAACTCAGGGTACATTTGTGATACTCTGATTCTGAAAATATCTAAAGGCCTATTTCAGTAATGCTCACAAACTTGTTGCTGCTGTTTCCCCCGCTGCTTCCAGGGCCGCGTTTCCAATGAGAGGGTCCTAACTCTCCGCAGCCCCTAACAGCTCCCTCGTGCCAAGAGATCGCGGTTGCCCCAGAACACAGGCTCACTCTCTGTGGCTCTTTCCTTCCTAACTGTCGGTTGTTCTTAAATGACTATATCTGTTAACCTTATGCTGCGGAACTGTGTGCCAGATACTTGGTGCTTTACACATTTTAATTTATTTAATTTTAGCAACACCCCTACGAGTCACATATTACTATCTTTGTCTTACAGACGAAACTGAAGCCGATAGGTTGAGTAACTTGCCCAAAGTCACACAGCTCATAAGCAGAAGAGCCCAGGTTTAATTAAGTCTGTACACTTAACCACGCTGTCCTTGCTTTTTAAGGACACCTACTCTCTGTTGAGATTACCCACCAATCCCCAAGATTGTTCTCCCACCTGCAGCTCTCC